GATATTTTTTATCCATCATACCGGTGGTGCACGAACGCCAGCCAGTTGTACTCTAGGTTATGCGTTTGCGCATTGAACACAATCCAATGTTTTCAGAACGTATGGTGTTGCATTGGACCAAGCAGAACAATCAGAGATTATGGATTCGACCCAAACCTATATGAACCTATCTACAACAACGCCCAACACACTTGTAAATGGATATAGTGAAATGACGCAAAAAGACACTGGAAAGTGCAGGAAGCCTAGAAGACAAGCTATCACGGGGGAAATTTAATACACTTAATCTTGGAAAAAGATGCGCCTTATGAGGTCGAATTCCCCTTCCTTTGTGATGGTTTCTCTTGGGATGACTATCGCATATTACTTCTCCTGCACGTCAGTCCTGTCTGGGGGTTTTCTCGCACTAGGTTGCGACAACTGAAAAATTGGCATAAACTCCTGCAATGCACTACTCATAAGGTTGCTGAAAACTCCTTGGCAGCCAATGACCGGTTTCATCCTTCTCGGGGCTCAATCAGGTAGGCGCTCGCGCCGAGCTTCCGTCAACCTTATGTTCTACTTGAAACCCAACTGCACGAAACTAGCGAAATGCATTCATTTTCAGACTTATATATATATATATATATATTTCACATACTCTTTTCAGAAGTCTCTTACTGAACAAATTGTGAGAAGTTGCTAGGCGGATTGCACGATAGAAGAGCAAATCTTCCGGTAAAATTACTAATCGCCTTTTATTAATTTTGCATTGTTTGCCTGCTAACTATTGCTACTATTAACATTATTATTATTACTAAAGGCAAGTTTTTTATGATTGCCTACAGTAAAGGTTTTGCTGCAGATCATGTAGAAAAGGGTCAAAGAGGGATGCGACTTAGTTGTAACATTTATCTCCCATGACTCATGCTAACAGCATTTGTTGCTGGATTTTCGGCATCAAGCGATGCTCATTTGGTGAGTGACCCTAATTTCGGGTGTGCAATATGAACCATTGGGAAGAGGCAAACAAAACTGTCAGTCTCGACAGTCATCATCATCATCATCATCATCATCGACAGCATGACATCAGTGTTCAACACCGATGCTTCACTGCCGTAC